TCTATTTTTCTTTAATAAAGTCTAATACTAATTAACTATTTAGTTAAAAAATTTTATTACTAATTAACTATTTAGTTAGAAAACTTATTAAATCGTTAATTTTCATTTCATAATTCAATTTTTTTTCCAATCTCAAGAAAAGAAAAGGAAAAGATTAGTGATTACATAGGTGAAACTAAAATATATGTTAAATATATAATACTTATACAATATTTAGAATTTATAATTTCATAAAGATATTAACCTTCATTAAAAGAAGAGATATGAAGGATTAGAATTCAAAAGACAAATCCAATATATATATTAATATCTAGCGCCTATTCAATATTTATAAGAATATTATACAAAAATACAGCACTATTCAATATTTAGGAGGGTATTATACAAAAAAATATAGTTTTATTTAATATTAAAGTTTAAAAGCCAAATCTAAAATATGTCTAATCAAATACAAGAAGAAATTGGATCGAAATTGGATCGAAATTGATTTTTAGTAATTAGCAACAAATTATTAATTAAGAACAAATTAGAAACTAAGAACGGACTTTGATATTTTTGATGTTTTTGTTTTTGTACTTCTAATGATTATGAGGGTATCTTAACCATTGAATTTTGATTTTCAGTAGGCATTCTTGCTTTTTATTTTTAAAAAAATGATCTTTTTTACAATGTCATATAATATAACTCATTATGTGCCACCTAATCTAATTTTTTATGTGAGTGCCACTAAAGAGAAGGATTAGAGAGCTTGAGATGAAGAAGGGGAGAGTGAGAGTGGAGAAGAGGAAAAGTTGATAGAAAGTGAAATTGATGAGAGATTAGAGTTTGAGTATTTTATTTATTTTATTTATTTCTACTTTTAGGATTAAGAAATTAGAAATTTAAAATTAATTTTTAAGTAATCTAATAAAAAATGAATAAAAAAAATTCAGGTCATTTCGGGTGACTCGACTCACCCGTAACCCAACTCATTTGGGTTTGGATAATTTTAATCCGGGTGATTTCGGATTTCGAATTAACACATAGGACCCATGACCCTTCTCATAACGGATGGGTTGGGTCAGATTTTCGAATTAGGTCCAATTTTGCCAGGTTTACTTAATTATGAAAAATGTATTTTTTTAGTATTTTCGTCAGTTAATCCATTAAATCTATCTAAATCTAAACATTTTTAGTCTCTCAACTTTAAGTTGAGGGATGAAAATATGCATATATTAGAAGTTGAGAGATTACAAATGTATAAATTTAGATAAACTTAACGAGTTAATTAACTGATGAAAGACTAAAAAAGTGCAAAAAAAATTAAAGGATGAAAATTGTGTAAAATATTAAGTTGAGGGACTAAAATTGACATTTAACCAAAAATAAATGGAGAAACAAATTGAATGAAATAATATAATAAAAAAAGGGTAAAAACTGAAAGGTGAAAAAGAAGTGGTAAAGCGTGGTCTCTGGGCCTGGTCACATTTGCCTAGGTTGCTCTGCGAGTGAATCTCAGCCGTTGAAACTCTGACACACAACTCTTTTTGATCTATCTCAGATTCCAAGTACAAAATTTTTATCCCAAAAAAAAAAATATCTCTATCAAATTGGTATCTTTCAATTTTCGTTACAGATTGACTAAACTATCATTACCAAGTATAAAGAGAACTTTAACTGTATATTTTGGTAATTTTATTATTTAATTTGTAATACTTTTTTCTAGTAATAACTTGAAAATCACATTAACTTTTAATTAATTTAAAATTAAGTGATGTTCACAAAATTTTTTCAAAATCTATTTATTTATTCACAGTATTCAAACTAAAGATTTTACTGTTGGTGATGTATTACCTTTTTTTTTGTATAATAATAGGAAAATATTTCCAAATCTTTACTAAGTACATATGTTTGGAATTGAGAAATATTAAAACATTTTGATAAATTAAAATGTCAATATTACATGTGAAAGTATTTCAATTTCTTAATAAATAAGATTGTAAGAAAGATTTATTAAAAATATTCAAATAAAATTTTTTTTAATTTGTATTATTAAAGTATAAGTTGAAAATGTACTTTATACATTTTTTGATATTCTTTTTCACAAAAAAATGAAAATTATGTAAAATCTATTGAAAATCACATATTATCCTTGCAAATAATAATAAAATCAAAACTAATATAATAAATTGAAACATATAAAATGCTTATCATGTATCAACGACATATTAATTTGATTGAAAGGAGCTTGATTCACTTTAAATAATGTTTCAGGTTTGAATCTTATTAATGAAGATACATATTTTTTTTTTATGGAATCCAACATAACTCAATTCCAAATTATTCAGGGTTTAATGTAATTTTTTAATATTGGAGTTTAGTTAAAAAATAAAAAAAAATAAAAAGTGTAATCTCTCATCTTGAAGAGATTTTTTTAGCAAAAAAATAATTTTATTGAAGATGTACTCCACACAATCTCCTTTCACCAGGCTGTAAGAAAAGAAATAAGCACAAAAATACACAAACTAGAAAAGGAGAAAAAGGGGAATACACGAATTATGTTATCTAGATGGAAATTAAAAACGACCAAGTGCGGAGAGCCAACAAGGAAACGGAGGAAACAAGGTAACTATCCATCTTCAGGCTAATTAACAACATTTCTTCAAGCCCTTTGCAAGTCCTGGGAACCGGTAATATGGATATGGAACAATTCCATTGCATCAGTAAATAGCAGCCTGTGAATACAGATTAATAAATGCATGATGAAGAGAGCAACATAGAAAGCATTGAAATAGTTATTGTTGAGACAAAAGGGCAGATATATCAAAAAGGATAAATGATAAAAATACCTAGAATTATGGTGAATGTCCAAATCATCAGCAACTCAGCTCTGCACCCCATGTCCATCTCCAATCAAATCCCCTAAACTTATCATTGA